TCTTGATCTCGAAGTTCTTGAGTTCAAGCTGTGCTCACAGCTCAGAGCCTGGAACCTCTTCAGATTCTGTGTCTCCCCCTCTCTGCCCCTCCCCCACTCACACTCTGTCTCTCCCTCTCTCTCTCTCTCTCTCTCTCTCTCTCTCTCTCTCTTTCAAAAATAAAAAACATTAAAAAAAAGAGAAAAGAATCTGTTCTCCTTGGGGCGCCTAGTTGGCTCAGTCTGGGGAGTAAGCAACTCTTGGTCTCAGGGTTAGGAGTTCAAGCCCATGCTGGGTGTACAGATTACTTTAAAAAAATAAAATCTTTGGGCATCTGGCTGGCTCAGTTGGTTGGGCATCTGACTCTTGATTTTGGCTCAGGTCATGACCTCCTAGTTCATGGGTTCAAGCCCCATGTCAGGCTCTGAGCTGACAGCACAGAGCCTGCTTGGGATTCTTTCTCTCCCTCTCTTGTAAGGGTTAAATTGTAGTGTTAGGGCTAACCTGTAGCCTTGAGAAATAACAGCTTTGTTTTAATGCTGTAGGTTAAGAGATAACAGCCCTATCCTATCAATCAAGGGAACAAAAGTTCAAGGAAAATCAACTGGATTAGTGTTTGATTGGATTGGGGCAAGGGCAGGTCTGAACTGTTTCTACCCCCATCTGGGAACTATTTCTTTGTTCTGTTCCTAGGTGATCATAAGACGATGTGGTTGGCTATAAAAAGTCTGTACCCTGGCTGTTTGAGGCCACACTCTGGTCAAGAGTGTCGGTCCCAATCGGTCGGCCTTGCTTCTCATTGCAATAAACTTTGTTGTGACTGTCACTGGTGCCCGTAGCATTCTGTTTCAGGAGTCCTGTGGATGCAACACTCTCTCTGCCTTCCTTCACCCACTCCTGCTGTCTCCCACACAAAATAAATAAACTTAAAAAAATCTCTTATGGTTTGCTTCTTTTTTTTTTTTTAATCCCTTCTCCTATGTTCATCTGTTTTGTTTCTTAAATTCCACATACGGGTGAAATCATATGCTATTTGTCTTTCTCTGACTGACTTATTTTCCTTAGCATAATATACTCTAGCTTCATCCACATCATTGCAAATGGCAATATCTCATTCTTTTTGATGGCTGAATAATATTCCATTATGTGTATGTATATACTACATCTTTATCCACTTATCAGTCGATGGACATTTGGGCTCTTGCCATAATTTGGCTATTGTTCATAATAAACATCGGGGTGGGTGCATGTGCCCCTTTGAATCAGTATTCTTGTATCCTTTGGGTAAATACCTAGTAGTGCAATTGCTGGGTTGTAGGGTAGTTCTGTTTTTAACTTTTTGGGAAAACTTAGCTCTTAATATTGATAAGATTCAGGGGGTGCCTGGCTGGCTCAGTGGGTGCAGCATGCAAGTTTTGATCTTGGGGTTGTGAATTTGAGCCCCACACTGAGCGTAGAGATTACTTTAAAAAATAAAATCTTAAAAAAATATATTGGGGCCCCTGGGTGGCTCAGTCGGTTAAGCATCTGACTTCGGGTCAGATGCTCAGGTCAAGATCTCAAGGCTCGTGAGTTCAAGCCCCTCGTCAGGCTCTATGCTGACAGCTCAGAGCCTGGAGCCTGCTTCAGATTCTGTGTCTTCCTCTTTCTCTGCCTCTCCCCAACTTATGCTCACGCTTTCTCCCTCTTTCTCTCAAAAATTAAATTAAAACATTAAAGTATTAGAAAAAAATAACAACCAGTCTCATTTTAGGACAAAATTACTTTCTTAAAAAAATGTATTCCCTTGTTGCATTATATGCTAATTTGGATGTAAATTAAAAAAAAATTAGAATTAAAAAAAGTATCCCCATTCCTTATACCTTTCTTGCCAAAAACATGTATCTTTCCTTGCATACAGAGTTGTTTCCCTTATTATTTTCAGTATTCTTAATTATATTTTTAATTCTCAGAAACCTTAATGTCTAGTGGAAACGAAGTGGTAAGCAATTGTGAATTGTTATACCAGGATCTTATTTGGAAAAGATTTAGATATCCATTGAATCGAACCCAATTTATTATTTGACCCAGAAAAACTTCAAAGTTGGAAGTAACCAAAAATTTTGGAAACTTTTTAAGAGTGTACTTACAGAGGCACCTGGCTGGTTTGATCAGCAGAGTGAGTGACTCTTGATCTCAGGGTTGTGAGTTTGAGCCCCACATTGGGTGTAGAGACTACTTAAAAAAAATAAAATCCTCTTTTTTAAAATGTTTATTTATTTTTGAGAGACAGAGAGACAGAGCATGAGCTGGGGAGGGGCAGAGAGAGAGGGAGAGAGAGAGGATCCCAAGCAGTTTCCATACTGTTAGTGCGGAGCCTGATGCAAGGCTTGAACTCATGAACTATGAGAGCATGACCTGAGCTGAAATCAAGAGCTGGATGCTTAACCAATTGAGCCACCTGGGCGTCCCTCGAATGCTGAATTTTGATAAGCACTTGCCTTATAACCAATCAAATGGAGCTCTTTTACAAATGTTCTCCAACTACGAAGAGATCTGCAATAAGGATTAGTGTCCACACAAATTCAGCTCTTCTTAGCCCACTGAAAATGTCCTGCGGAGAGTTGGTAAGTAAGCTCTTTCAGTTGATCATTTAAAAGTGGACACCCAGCTGGTTGAGGTATACCAAACTGGCACCTCTCTACCCAGACAATTTGCAGACAATCTCCAGAACCTGAGATCTATCTCACGGAGGCCTTCAATGATCAGGCATCCCTTCTCAGCCTCCAGAACTTGGGGAGACAAGGACATCTTACAAGTCCTGACTCCCCAGTCAGACCAGACCAGACCAGACCAGATAGCTTCTCAGACCTCCAGCCCTCCTTTTCTCCCCTTGAGATAGCGGTAGAACCCTAATCTGATTTGTGAGATAATTGCCATTGACCTCTCTGAAGGGACTCTCTGATTAAAATGTTTGGGGGGGCGCCTGGGTGGCTCTGTTGGTTAAGCGTCCAACTTCGATTCAGGTCATGATCTCATACTTCATGGGTTCCAGCCCTGCGTTGGGCTCTGTGCTGACAGCTCAGAGCCTGGAGGCAGCTTCAGATTCTGTGTCTCCTTCTCTCTCCGCCCCTTCCCCACTCACGCCCTGTCTCTCAAAAATGAGTAAACGTTAAAAAAATGTTTGGCACTGCCACTGAGCTCATTCAGCGAGTTGAGGTGCCTCAACAAATCAGGCATCAAGAAGGATTCTCTTATGCCCTTCCCCACAGAAGGAACTCGAAGGGGTTAGGTGAGAGTTCCCACCAGAGTTGCGAAATTTGTTACCCAACCTGGGCTCTCCTCTTGATGGGTTTTGAGCCAAAATTCACAACCAAGCCAAAGAATAGGAAAAGGAAGAGATTTCCGTGCAACAAGTAAAAGAACACTAAGGATATTTCCCAAAGCAGTGTCTCCAGAAACAACATTGGGGAAGTTTTAAGGTAAGAGTGCATACATATGCATGAAGGGGCTGGCACAAGGGGGAATACAGTAGGGACTTGGGGGCAAAAGTCATCTGAAGGTGACTGAGTCCAGGTCAAAGTCCAGAGGGCTGGCAAAAGTCAGCATCAGTTCTCTGGCTCCAACTGGCCCTCTATTTGAGTGCTCAGAGGGGTTTAGATCCTGCAGAGATAGCTCAAGAATGTGTGTCAGGTTACTGTTCACTTTGGAATCAACACTGAGGATTTCACCACTGATTATTGTCCTGATGTGATTAGCTTATCTCCTGGCCTGGGTGTGGCTGTTCTAGCATTCTTCAATGGGATGGTGGGGAGCTGAAAATGACTTTTTTTTTTAAGTTTATTTATTTTAAGAGAGAGAGAGAGAGAGAGAGAGAATCCCAAGCAGGCTCAGTGCTGTCAGCACAGAGCCTGACGCAGCACAGAGCCCAACTTGGGGCTTGATCTCACGAACCCAGAGATCATGACCTGAGCCAAAATCAAGAGTCAGACACTTACCTGACGGAGACACCCAGGTGCCCCCCCCCCCTTTTTAAAAGTAGGCTTCATGCCCAGCGTGGGGCTTGAACTCATGACCCTGAGATCAAGAGTCACATGCTGTACTGACTGAGCCAGCCAGGCACCCCTAAAATGACTTATGTCAGGAAAGTTATGTCTGTCTTTTCCTGGGGACCCCTAACTCTTTCAGCTTACAGGTAGTGAGCTGGAATTCCAACCCTCTAATCACATTGTTGGTTCCCCTGGCAACCAGCCTCAATCCTTAGGGGTTTCCAAAAGTTACTGCAGTCACATAAACCCAGGTGTGGTTGAAAGGGGCTCATTATGAATAACAAGAGGCACCCAATTTATAGAAACAGTGGATGAAGACAAAATGTGTATTTGTCATAAACCCCAATATCACACAGTGAGCCATTTTATGCAATTTTAGATGTTTTAGTAGCCACATTTTAAATTGTAAAAAGAAACAGGTGAACTTAATGTTAGCAATATATTTTATTTAACTCACTTTATCCAAAATATGATCACTAACATATAGTCAACCTAAAAGCATTAATGAAATTGTTTACCTTTTTTAAAGTTTATTTTTTAGTAATCTCTATACCCAACAATGGGGCTTGAACTCACAACCCCAAGATCATGAGTCGTATGTTCTTCCAATTGAGCCAGCCAGGTGCCTATATATATGTATATATAGATATGTATGTATATAGATAGATAGATAGATATATGTGTATATATGTATATATATGTGCCTACATATGTATATATAGATATATATGTATATGTGTATAGATATATGGATATATGTGTATATACACATGTATATATGTGTGTGTGTGTATACGTGTGTGTGTGTGTATTATTATTATTATTTTTTTTGGTACAAGTCTGCAGCACATCTCAATTGGCACTGGCCACCTTTCGGGGGCTCCATAGCCACACGTGGCTGGTGGCTGCGGTACTGGAGAGAGAGCATAGGCTTCAAACCTTCCCTGCTGTGGCTGAGGCCACCAGACAACCTGTTCACTGCTGTGTCCTAGCGCCTGGCACATAATGAGGCCCAGTGGTCTGCCATATGTGAGCTGGAATAATGTCTCCTCTGAGCCTCCAGGGAATGTCCTGAAGGTTAAATAAAATGCATGTATGTTAGGCACCCTGCCTGCTCCGCGACCGTTGCTGTTCTCATTTCCTCAAAGTCAACCGAAGGGCAACAGGCCCAAGTTTGCTTCCTCTCTTTCTCTTAAGAGCTCTTCTCTAAAATTACAAAACGCAGGCTGGGATTACAGAGCCGGCAAGGGCCTTAGGGTCAGGCTCTGGTGCAACAGACGAAAAAGCGGGAACCTCTAACCCACGCCCTTGTTTTCTTGGCCTTTGGACAGCTCGAGGCCCCGCCCACCCCGCCCTGACGGGCGCCCGGAGGAACTACAGCCCCCACGATGCAGCTGGAGTCCTTCTGCTGACGTCATTGGCTTGGGACGCCCCGGCGGTAAGCGAGCCCGCTGAGCCGCCTCTCGGGGCTCTCAGCCGGCAGACCCCCTGACCCGTAAGGAGTGATAGGGTCTAACCGCCTGAGCTCGGAGTCCACCGATTGATCAGGGCCAGGGCGGCAAACGTGCGGCGGCTAGTGACGTGAGCGACCTCCCTCCTCCTCCCGCCTCTCTCCGGGGTGGCGCCGTCTGGTGACGTTAGGGGCATGATGGCCGCCGCGAGGCCGGGAAGGTGAAGGTGAGAGGGCGAGCGCGCCGGAGGGGTGGGGACCCGCCCAGCCCAGCCCGGCGAGTCCTGAGCAGCCCGGCGGGGACCGGTGGGACGCTGGAACCCCGGGAACTCGGGATCCGGGCAGGCGGGCGTCTCCACGCCCCGGCCTCGCTGCGGGGCCCTCCGCGGCCCTGAGAGGAGGGGGCGGGACGTGGGTGTCTGGACTGGGGGTGGGGTTCCTTGAGGTTCCTCGTCTCCCCCAGCCTTCCCACCTTCGCGGCCCCATTCCATCCCAGCCCTTTCTTCCTTTCGTATCCAGTCTTCTATATTTGCCAGCACTTACTCAGCACAAGATAAGTGCCCACGTTGACCACTGTGGCGCCTTACCCTCTCCCACTTTGGGCACTTTCTGCGCTCAGGTGCAGTCACCTATTTTCTTGTTTGACTTCTTACCTGAAGGTAAGCCCCTTGAGGGCAGGTACTGATTTACCCATCCCTAACTTCAGCGCCTAGCATGCACACAGGCACACAGACGATGCGGAATAATTTACTGTTTGGATGCGTGAAGCCTAAACTGCCCATCCTCTATTGTAATCTTTCGTTGCCCTGTTTCTTCAATTTCTCCATCGTCTCTCTTTTCTTCCTCCCAGAAAGGCCTCTGATTATCACCCTTCCCACCCGGAAGGGTGGAGTGAGGCAGATCCACGAAGTTAAAAACAAGTATGGTTTGGAGTTAAAGGGAGATTGTATATCAGTTCCTAGCTTGGCCACTTATTAGCAGTCTATAAATCTTTTAAGTATCCCAAGCCTCTGTTTGCCCCATAGAATTAAAAATTAAGTAAGATATATTTTACAGCATGCAGCACACACATTCTTTCAATAAGTTCCACTTCTCTTCCACACCCCCACCCACTCATCTCTAGTCCTCAGTTCCACAATCCTCAAGACCAGTCCTTGTCCTGGTCTGCTGCCTCCTCTCCTCTCACCTCTCTGGACATGGACCTGTCTTTACCAGGGTTCCTGCTTCTCACCAGCACATGTTTGTGTGTCCCCGCGATTGTCCCCACACCTGTGTGTTGTGTTTTCCTCCAGGGCACTTCCTCACATACCATCGGAGTACAGAGTACGGGGCAATGACTAAGCTTCCCTCAGGGATGAGTTTGTTTGGCTTTAAACCTGGTTAAACGTGTTTTGCGCCCTTTTTTTTTTTTTTTTTTTTTTTTTTTTTTTTTTGCTGCTTGTTGACATGTCCCTTTTTTTTCCCCAATAAGTTGGAATTGGTGGAGTCAACACAATCAGTAGCCAACCTCAACCTGAGACAGGACAGAGGAGAATTCAGATTCTTTTCGTCTTTTTGACTCCAGCCATGCCCATGATGCCCAGCCTGTGAAGGTCTCTTACCATCCAAAAAGTAAGTGGTAGCTGGGACGTCTGGCACCCTGGATCTGGGTTGAGTGGAAAGGGGTATGTTCTGCTGGCTGTCCAGTGGCAAGTGTCATGGATGGGGTCATCTTTGCTCAGAGCTGGAGTTTTCCAGTCTGTGCTGAAAAAAACTGTATGTATGTCCTTCCTGCTTCCATGGTTTTCACTGTTGGTGGAGAGAGCCTATTTAAAGGTTGACAGTTCAGAAGGTGGCTGGAATCTTTGGGCTCCCCGAAGAATTAGTCTCTGTCTCCCTTGTTCTCTGCTCTGCTGGCTCCTCCCTCCCTGTGTCTGCCCAGCAGAGACTGGCTCCTTATCACAGCTCTTCTGAGAGTCTACTCTGCCCCTTTTACCCTGTATACTCTTTTGTTTCAATTTCTCAGCTTCTCCTCTGTTCCAGTTGTGCCAGCAGACGATCCGTGGACCTATTTTATTTTCCCTGCTAGGAGTTGCTGTGCATAAAACTGGGTAAGGAGGTGGTGTGGATTTAGGGACTGTGCTTGGGATCCAAACACACCATATGGTGAATTCTCTACTGCTGTTTTCACGTGCGAGGCATCTAATACTCCTCAACTAATAAATAGCCTGGGTTGAGGCAAAGCTTTTTTTTCAGTTTGGAATTGGGTTTGGTTCTGGTCTTAGGTTACTATCTGTTAATACTGTGCCCCTAGCACTTTTTTCGGGTGGGAGAGGGAGACGACCAGGATGAATGAGGCTTTCCCTGAAGGATGTTCCTCAGGATTTTAAAAACCGTTATGTAGCAGAACATCTTGTTTAGATACGTTTGTGAAATGCTGCGTTAAGTACAGTTCAGCTAGTGTTTTTAGAACAGGCCTTTTTCCAGAGTCTTTGCTTTGGTCATGTGCTCTGATGGAGGATGACCGTGGCATATAGTGTTTTAGAAATTTTTTCTACTGTGGATCCCTTTTTACATGGAGCGTTGGGTGCACTACATTTCTGTGGCCCGCACTTTGGGAAATGCTGTCCTGAACTATCTGAAACCCTGACTTGAAGAGCACTTCGCGCCTGTCACCCCAGCTTGAAGCATGCCACTTAATGTGTAGCTGGTATCAGAGCCACTCTAACCTAGCTGTGCCCAGGGGACTGGACCTGCATGCCTGCAGTGAGCTCTGTGGTGAAGTAGGGACTATCAGGGCTTTCCAGAGGAGGAACAGGATCCCAGCTGCTTCCTACCACTCTGTAAGGGTAGGCAGCCAGCAGGCAAAGCCCTGAGATAGTGGGCCTTCCCCTCCCCCCCCCCCCATCTTGGCTTGTTTGTGTGTGTTCCGTAACTTGGGTCCATTTGTGCACATATGTATGTCCAGCTTGCTCTTTGAAGGATCGGATCCTGGGATCTGAAAGGTTTGATCAACTCTCTTGATTCCGTGAGCTCCAAACACTAAGAAACAGATGCTTAGCCCGAAGCTGCTTTTTAAGAAAAAAAAGTAGATGTGTGTATTCTAGGGATGGAAGGGGAAGAAGGCACTCTCGTGAAGGGGCATTCGCTAACTCATCCGTGTCTCTCACAGTTGTGGAGGAGGAAAGTAGACCTGGAAACAGGTCACGACTCTGTGTCCGGCGATCTTTCTGGAAGGTCACAGACTAGACGAGGAGACGGGGATTTAAAAACCATAAGGTTGCGTGTCCTCCTTGGAGATGTCAGGGAAGGCTTCACGGAGGGGTGATGCTACGGTTGGGTCTAGAAGGACAGTAGGAGTGTGCCAAATGGTGAAAAAGAAAAGAGGATCCCAGGCCGGAAGCAGCACGTACAACACAAACAGGGAACCTCAGCTTGGGGGTTAACTGAGTCAGAGAAATCAGGCAGTTTGGATGGGTTGGAGGGAGGATCCCTGAGAGGGCTGGGGCATATGGCTGCAGGCTGGGGGATGGTGAGAGCAGGTCAGGTCCTGGCCTGGCAACTCCGAGCACGTCTCGTAACCTTGAACCGCTAAGCTTTTCCTAGCGTGCGCGCCTTTGAATCTTGCACTTACCGAACGCTAGCACTTTTGGTTTTGGATCCTTTGGGCTGGCAAACAATGACCAGAACTTGAAAGCACATGCTTCTAAGAGCCCCACTGATCTCAGGGAGCTTTCTGCCTACAAGCAAGTCACTTCTGGGGATGGGCCCTGTTGTTCCTCAGCCCTGAGCAGACCTGTTCACTGGGTTCCCCGTGACAGTGGGGGAGCCGAGGATGTGTTGGTGGAGTCGAGGATGTGTTGGTGGAGTCGTCTCTGCCCTTCCCTGAAGGCTGGGTGTTGGAGGGGAGAGTTGCCCGATCTTGCTGGTGGAGTTTATCATTGTTGTTACTTCATAACACATAAAATCACCTATAAGTTTGTCCTGTGTCAGCCTGAGCCTTCTCCATCTGTGTGGCATCACGCTTGTCCTGCACATGAAGGATTCAAGGCTCTGAGGTTAAATAACTTGCTCAAGTTTACATGACCCAGAAAGAGTACGGTTTGAACCCAGCTCTGGTTCCAGAATCTGTCCCCTCCAGCCGTGTCATGCTCCATCCAGATCCCTTTCCGTTTCCTTTTGATGCTTTTCTCTTTTTGCACTCATCCCCCGTTCTCCTAGAGTCTTAACCTGCTGGGCCATGCGAAGCCTGATTCCAGTGCCTCTTCTGCTCTGGAGGAGGCAGGGGTGCTTTCTTCCCGATGCCCCTTCTCAGAGTTCTGTTGCCTCAGAATTCCTTGACGCCTTGACCCCCAGGCTAAGAAAAGTGCACAGTTGTAGCGATTTAAGGAGGAGGAAGGTAGAAATGGGCAGTTACTTGTCTTTCTTATCTCCCTAGAAATCATTAACAAAGTAATTTGTAAGTTATGCAAAACATGTGGGTTGATATTTCCCTGTGAGTCTGTCTGTCTGCCCACTCTTTGGGATGATTAGATCCTAAGAACCAGTTTTCAGTCACTGTGCGCTTTCTCTGGATGTTCTTTCTGCTTCTCAGTAACTTGTTCAGTACCTTTTGGCACGCTTGGGAAGTTTCTGGTGTATGTTCCCTCATGAGCTTTCTCATTTCCCAGATGCAGCGAGTGCTGAGTGCTGGCTCCCATGGAGAGCCCATGTTGCTATGATTAGGGTGGCCTGGGAGGGAGAATTTGCTGGGTGTTGGAGACGCAGAACCAGGCACATGCAGCTGTGTGGGGTTGGAGGAGCCTTTGTCCTTTGACATCCAGGATCTGAGGGCCCTGCTGGGGAAATAGCTCTGTGCATGGTGGGAACTCAGGGGCAGTGCTATTATGGGACCAGAGATCTCCAGCCACATCTGGATGCCACCTTCTCTGCTCTATCTGTCGGTTTTGACTTTGAGCAAAAATTTCTAAGGCTTTGGAGCTCAGCTTCACGGCCCCTAGTATGTTACTGCTATTTGGAAAATATAGGCTATAACGATCGAGGGCAAGAGAGCTATCTACCCCAAAACAGACTGCTGATAGACAGGTATTAATAGTGTTATCACAGGAGGGGGGTTATGGATTTTCCCTTCAGTTCCCGCATTTTCTACGGTGCACACGCTTGCAGTGAAAGAGACCAATAAGTGTTTTTAAGAGTAGATGCAGACCTCTCTCACTTGAGTACCACCCTTCCTTGTCCACCCCCGACCACCACCAGTACTAACAAAAAACCCGTTCAGAATTAGGGCCGTCGTGACCTGGACAGCAGAGTGGCCAGGGGAGGGTGGCGGGGGTCACTGACTTTGAGCATCACTTTGTTTTCACTGCTTTCAGTCATCCGTGCTTTTTCTTAGGTGGGTGATGTGTAGGAAAGAAGTAGGTTTCTGTCACACTTTTCTGCCTGAGACCGAGAGGAGGGCTTCTCACGTGTCCTCTCGTGATCCCGGCCTGACTCCCTGAAGTGGGGAAGGCTGGGTCTGCTGCTCTTCCACAGGCGGGGATCAGCCAGCGCAAGGCCTAAACCCAGAGCCCTGGCTCCAGCTGTCTGGGTGCCCACACGTCCTCGGCGGTCGCTTCCTACTCTTGAGGACGCCAGTCTTACCTTACCATCCTGGATCTAGTCCTGGAGGGCCCGTGTTCTTGATGGCCCCCAGGGCTAGCCCCAGGCCCCCCATGGCACCCCGCCACAGCCCTAGCAGAACGTCTAAACTGGGCATTCCTGGGTTCACTCACGTTGTCTTTTCTTGCAGCGCGATGTCCCTGCTTTTCTCTCGGTGCAACTCCATTGTTACAGTCAAGAAGGACAAGAGACACATGGCTGAGGTGAATGCTTCCCCACTCAAGCACTTTGTCACTGCCAAGAAGAAGATCAATGGCATTTTTGAGCAACTGGGGGCCTACATCCAAGAGAGCGCCACCTTCCTTGAAGGTGAGACAGGCGGCCTGCTCAGCCGGGTCCACACCTGTCAGTTTCCATATGTAGGTGGGAGGATAGAGAGGAGGGGAGGTAGAGCCTTGCTTCTGGGGAGCTTATCCCCAGGTAGGTTGTCACCTTCAGCAGTGTTGTGCTTTGGGAATCATGTGGAATTGGGCTCCAGGGAAATCAGACTAGGAAAACTAGAGACCTGTCACATAAGAATTCTGTGTATTCTGTATCATTTAGTCGTGAGGGGTAGGTGAATCTCAGTCCCATGTAGAAGACAAGCAGATGGAGGTTTTGAGATTTGCTCGATATCTTGTAAGTGACACAGCAGGGCTCTACCAGGTATCTCTGACTCCTAAGCCCAGGTGTTTTCCTCAGCCTGACTGTGCGGGTATTGGTTGTCCCTGCCCAGGGTGTTCTTTCTCTGATATTTTTAGTCAGCGGGGCTGTGGAAAGGAAACTTGCGTCACTGGCACCTTTTCCACTAGTTACTAATTTGAGCCCAGCCCCTGGTGCCTGCTCTATCAGCAGAGGAGGACAGGTTCCCAGGGCCCCCGCTCAGTCGATTGCCAACCCCAGCCTCTGGTTGTCTGAGGCTCCCTCTCTAGAAGGTATACATTAGCTCCTGTGTCTGGGATTGTCCGTCCAGACCCAGTAGCTGAGTCTCATCTGCCCTTGGTTTCCTTGTTTGTGAAAGAGGCGCTCAAGCGAGACCAGGGCTTTTTAAATTCTAGTCCGCAGAGCTCTCCATGTTCAGTGGAAACGCCCCAGGGACATGCTTCACCGTCTGCTTTCCACTAGCGTGGCTTGGCTTCGGGTTGGTTTATGTGACAGGCTCCTTCTTAAGGCTCCCTTTAGAGAGAGGGAATGTTTCCAGTACTGTGGTCTGAATGTTTGCATTCCCCCACATTCTCATGTTGGAACCCTAAGACCCAGTGTGATGGGGTTCACAGGTGGGACCTTTGGGAGGTGATTAGGTCACGATGGGGGAGCATTCATGAAGGAGATTAGTGCCCTTATGAGAGACCCCACAAAGCTCCCTGGCCCCCTTCTGCCACGTGAGGATACAGTGAGAAACCTGTGACCTGGGAGAGGGCCCTCCCCTAACCGGGCCAGTGTCCTGATCTGAGCCTTCCAGTTCAGAACTGGGAACAGTACGTGTCTGTTGTGTATGACCCGCCTAGTCTGTGCGGTTTCATTGGAACAGCCTGAGCAAACCAAGACTGAGAACGGACTCTCTGCCCTGCCCCTGGCGTGGGGCTTGATGCAGGAGAAGGTGGTCCCCACATACTTGTTAACGTGAAAATCCGAGTTTTACAGTTAGAAGACTGGTAGCTGAAGTTATTCCAGTTCATGACCCGTTTGTTTGGCAGTAACTCGGGTGCACCTGGCTCTGTGCACGCAGAGATGGGGCAGACCAGGTCACTCCTTCCAGAGCTCCGGCTGACCGTCTGTGATGCTCTGACTCACTCACTTTGTTGGTGCCGTGGACGAACACGTGCTTAATGAAGGGGTCTGTGCGCTGGCATTAGGAATGGCTGTTTTGGTTCTTGTTCTTGTGAGACCAGGAGGCTTGTCCTGTTGGTGGGCTGCAGGGGAAAGAGCTGGAGTGCTCTGGGTATGTGTTTGGGCCTGCCCTGGCTAGGGGCGGGGATGGTGGCCGCCTGGTCAGTCTTCTGGCTGTTTCTTTTAAATGTGGCCACTCGCTTGAGAGCCCAGCTCCTTTCGGGAGCGTTGCAGAAGCCACGCCCATGTGCCCCTATGAAGGAGGAGGGGTGATGGGTCTGAGACTGCGGTGACCAGGGGACCTGGGAGGCCTTGGCAGTTTGGTCACTTCCCCTCGTGGCATCATGCAGGGGAGACTCACCCGGTGGTCTCTGAATGCCGCCTGTGGTCACCAGTACCCTCGTCGTCTTGGGTCGCCGTAGCAGAAATATCACACGCTGGGTAGCTTATAAACAACAGGAGCTCACTTGTCACGGTTCTGGAGGCTGGCAAGTTCAGGGTCCGGACTCTAGCAGATTGGGTGTCTAGTGAGGGCCAGCTTCCTGGATTGCTGTTGTTTCCTCTGTAACATCCCAGGTAAGCACACGGCAGGAGTTAGCTAGCTCTCCGGGTCTCTGATAACGGCACTAATCTCAGTCATGAGGGCTGCACCCTCATGACCCATCACGTGGTGGGGGCACAAACATTTAGTCCATTGCCGCGAGCGTGTGCCAAGGGACCAGGTGCCCGTTTACTCCGCCAGCTGACACGCCTTCCTGGTGCAAGACTAGATGGGGTGGGGCCGGACCTTGCTCATTTGCTTCTGTCATCCGTTGCCTATCTACCTGTCGGAGCCACTGGGAAAAAGCAGTGCAGTGATCCCAGTACCCACTGGCTTAGCAATTGTGGTGTACCTGCTGAGTGCGGGGACCGCACAGTTTGGCTTTCATGTGGGAGATGATGCACTTGAACTAGACGGTCACACCATGGTGAGGTGAGCGCTGAAGTACAGGGTGCTTTGGGAGCACAAACAAGGGGCTCTCACTCAGGTTGGGGGAGTCAGGGAAGGCTTCCGGGGGCTGTGCAGTCCATGCTAGACGAGGCTAAGTGGGAGTGAGCCAGAGCCCCCCAAGGCAGCGCCTCCGTGCATCGGTGGGGGGAGGGGGAGGGGTGCACTGAGCAAAGCCCAGAGTAACCGGAGGCAGCATGGTGAGGGTGGGGACGTGCTGTGCAGGGTGGGGCTGGCAGGAGGCCCTACTGGAGCAGTAGGCAGGGCCGGTCAGGAAGGGCCTCATGAAGGTGCACAGGGTCCCGTCCTGGCTCCGAGTGTGGGGCAGGTAAATAACGAGGATGGGGTGAGACTGTGTTTGAAAGGTGATCAGAGCAGTGCCTGGTGTGTAAGGAACGGTTTGGTAAGTAAAACGCCTGGAAGTGACGGCAGGGAACATTCTAGTGCTCAAATGGACATCATTCATCCTTGCGGCAGTCGCAAGAGGTGGGCACTGCTCTTTGCTGTGAGAGTCGGGAGTCTAAGACTGGGCTCCGTCGCCTGAGGTCGCACAGCTGGGAAGAGGTGGCAAAGCAGTACTTCCTTGCTCTGGAGCCCGGGTGTCTGTGCTGCGGCCCCCAGCAGGGAGGTTGCCCTTCAGCGGGCAGTGGCGGGGAGCTGCGGCCGGCGCCTCTGTCCCCCGCAGACAGAGGGGTGACCCATGTTCCATCTCCACCTCCAGACACCTACAGGAATGCGGAACTGGACCCCGTTACGACAGAAGAACAGGTTGTGGACGTCAAAGGCTACCTGTCCAAAGTGAGGGGCATCAGTGAGGTGTTGGCCCGGCGGCACATGAAAGTGGCTTTTTTCGGCCGGTGAGTCTGTGAAGCTGTCACACCTTCCTGCCTGGGGCGGGGGGGGCGGAGGGGGGCGCTTGTGCAGCCTCGCAGTCTGAGTACCTCTTCCTCTTGTTTAAGTTTTTAATGGTGGCAAAATACACATGACGTAAAACCCATTGTCACGATTGCTCTTAAGTCTACAGTCTGATAGTATTTACTGTGTTCACGCTGTTGTGCCGTCATCACCACCGTCCATCTCGAGAACTTCTTCATCTTGAGAAACTGAAACTCTGTCCCCATGAAACACTCGCTTTTGTCCTCCCGAAACCCCCACCCCTGCCCCAGCCTCTGGCAGCCACTGCTTTGCTTTCTGTCTCTATGGATTTGACTCTTCGAGGAACCGCCAATAAGTGGAATCGTACAGTGTTTGTTCCTTTGTGACTGACCTCTTCCACTTAGCATAATGTCCCCAGGTCCCCTCTGTTGTGCGCTCCGGGATGGCCTTCCTTTTTCAGGCTGAGTAACATGCCACCGTGCGTATAGACCGTATCTTGTTTATCCGTTCATCCAGAACGAACACTTAGGTTGTTTTTACTTCTTGGCTGTTGTGAATGATGCTGTATGAACGTGGGTGTACAGATATCTGTTCGAGACCTTCCGGTGCTCTGGGTACATGCCCAGAAATAGAATTCCTAGATCGTATGGTAGTTTCATTTTTAATTTTTTGAGGAACCACCATGTTGTTGTCCTTAGCGACCGCACCGGTTTCCAACCCCCCCGGGAGTGCACGGGGCTCCAGTTTCTCCAACTCCCTCCAACACGTGCCTTCTGTTTCTTCTCTAATAGACATCCTCATGGGTGTGAGGTGGAATCTCATCGTGGTTTTGATTTGCATTTCTCTATTAATTAGTGATGTCTAGCATCTTTTAATGTGCTTCTCGGCCATTTGTGTATCTTCTTTGGAGAAATGTCTGTGCCGGTCCACTGTCCATTTTTAGATGGGGTTGTTTGTGGGGTTTTTGTGAGGTGTGAGAGTTCTGTATATAGCCTGCATATTAACCCCTTACTGGATACATGATTGTAGATGTGTCCTCCCATTCTGTGCGTTGCCTTTTCACTCGGTTGGCTGTGTGCTTTGATGCCCAGAAGTGTTTTCATTTGGATATAGCCCAATTAAGTTTATTCCTACTTCTGTTGTCTAGACTTTTGGTGTCCTGTCCAAGGAATTGCTAAATCCAATGTCGTGAGGCTTTTCTTCTGTTTTCTTCCAAGAGTTTTATAGTTTTAGCCATCAGATCTCCTTGTTACACTTTGAGGTCTAGTGGACACTAGAGGTTCTCCAGTTCTCAGCAGACCCTGCACGTCCTGCATATTGAACCCAGCTCTGACACTGTCTACCCGGAGGGAGCATTAGATCCTGCAGGTTAAAGGCCCAGTCCCCCAAGATGGGCCTCGTTTCAGATGCCATTTGGAAATCTGTGCTTTGGAGTGACTGGCAGTCACTGGCAGTGACATGGAGGTTCCCATGACTCCTCCTCAAGTTTGGCTAATTTGCTGGAGCTACTCACAGAGCTGGGGAAACAGTGACTCACACTTACTGTTTTGGTGTAAAGGATACAGAAGAACCAGCAGGTGAAGAGGGGCACAGGGTGAGGGCCAGAAGCGCTACCCTCCAGGCTTATGGATGTCTTCGTCAACCCGGAAGCTCATCAGACCTCATTGTTCAAGATTTTTATGGAGTTTAATCCACAGGCCCTTCCTCTTTCCTGAAGTAGGTGGGTGGGGCTGAAAGTCCTAACCCTCTAATCGCTTGGTCTTTCTGGTGACCAGTCCATTTTGAGAGTAGGGGCCCCAACCTCCGTCCCCTCATTAGCATAGACAGGTGTGCTCAAAAGGGGCTCCTGTGAATGACAAAAGACACTCCCCTTGCTAAAATTCCAAGGATTTTAGAAGCACTGTGCCAGTAAAGGGACAAAAACCAAATGTATTTCTTATGTCTAATCTTTAAAAAGATTAGAATCTAATAAAGGGAACAAAGACACCTGGACAGGTTGGATGCTATACACACAGCAGTGGCCTGAGGAATAGGCACTGTGCCTTGAGTCTTGCCCCTAATGACCTGTGACTTTGTTACCGAATCCCAAGTTCGGCTCCCCATCCCTCGAATGACCAGTACTCGAGAGATGAGTATTGAGGGGTACCTGGTTGACTCAGTTGGTGAAGCGTCTGACTCTTGATTTCGGCTTAGGTGTTCAGGGGTTTGAGCCCCGCGTTGGACTCTGCGCTGTCAGAGTGGAGCCTGCTTGGGATTCTCTCCCTTTCTCTCTGCCCCTCTCTCTCTCTCTCTCTCTCTCTCAAAATATATAAGTAAGCTTAGAAAAGATGAGTATTGATAGGAAAGGAATATGTGCTTGATTTAGGAGGCTGGCCATGTGGGAGGAAGGTGGACTGTTACCCAATAGCCAACTCCTCAGTTTCTGTGTCGCCATGAGGGTTTTAAATTTTTTTTTTTTAATGTTTTTATTTATTGTTGAGATGCAGACAGAGCATGAGCAGGGGAGAGGCAGAGAGAGGGGGAGACACAGAGTCTGAAGCAGGCTCCGGGCTCCGAGCTGTCAGCACAGAGCCCGATGCGGGGCTCAAACTCACGGACCGTGAGATACCTGAGCCAAAGTCAGACGCTCAACTGACTGAGCCACCCAGGCGCCCCAGTGAGGGTTTTAAAGGGACGAGGGTTGTTCATCAGTGAGGGGGTGCAGGGGCCTTTAACGTTTCTATTCTGTACAGATTTAGTGGCTCCTGTTTGCAGCTTTCAGTGCTCAAGGGTTGTGCAAGAGATCTGACTCCTGTGACACGTGAGGAGTCTCTCTTCTCCTTCTAGAGAGGAATGTGGGATTAATAGGTAACAGAGGGAGGGTTAGTAAATCAATCGCATGCACTTAGCATCCCTGTTAAAGATTACCATGCTAGTTACCAAGATTAGGGTGGCCCCCGCGGGTAGGTTTGCAGTGATGACCTGGGAGCACATCATGGGCACAGGCCAGAGGTGTTTGTCCATCCGTTTGCATAAACACAGAGTGCTCGCTCCCCCTGTCTGGGTACTGGTGCCACTGCAGAGACTCGGGCTCCCAGGCCGGCAGCTTCCGTGTGGAAGCCTGCAAGGCAGATACGGGTGGCCTCCTTGACGGCCAGTTGTCCTCGCAGGACGAGCAACGGGAAGAGCACCGTGATCAATGCCATGCTCTGGGACAAAGTTCTGCCCTCAGGGATCGGCCACACCACCAACTGCTTCCTGCGGGTAGAGGGCACAGACGGTCACGAGGCCTTCCTCCTCACAGAGGGCTCGGAGGAGAAGAGGAGTGTCAAGGTGAGGGTGCCGTGGCGGGGACCGTGCC